TGTTCAAATGGCCAGAAAGTTCGCTGCTTGGATAGTCAATAGAAGAATCTACGAAACGAAGAATCTAAAAAAAATCTACGAGATCTAAACGAAGAACTATTGCTCAGTTCTGTAATGAAAATCAGATGTGTACGGAGAAATTTCTGATGGCTGCTGAGTTTTCAGCAAGAAAACATAAACAGCATGATTTAACAAAAATTATAAGTCAACTTCTGAGAAATCTCATAAGTATTATGTCAACTCCTAACAGTCCGAATCATATGATAGAAAAAGAAACGCCAGAAGAAGCTCTTGCTTATTTACTCGATAACAATTTATCAAAGCAACAATATATAAACATGCATTTAGAATGTAAACGTAGAAAAGCAGATATTTGGCCTAGGTATGATCTAGTTCTAGCTGAAAAATATAAATGTCATCCTAGTGGGCTTGTTGTAAACGATATTTCCGCTAAAGTACCACTTCAAAACTTACTAAATCATAAAGTTAAAAACTTATTGAAATGCAGGCAGAAGTGATTGAAGCGGACTTGCAAGAAAAATCGTTGCAGTTTACAGAAGCAACGCTAATTTCATCTTGGGGATTTGATGGTTCTACAGGTCACTCTGCATATAATCAAGCATTTAGTAGTTCAGGAGTCTCGATAGGAAGTTCAGATACTAGTCTGATAGCTACCACAACAATTCCATTGCGCTTAATTGCTAATTATGGCTCAATCTATTGGTGTAATAGAACACCTCAATCAGTAAGATTTTGTTCACCAATTATGCTTCAATATAAAAAAGAGACTACAATAGAAATACAGAATACTTATGATGAAATGAAAAAACAGATAGACGATTTGGAATCTTTTACATGTACATTATCTAATGGAAAAACGATTACAGTTACATACACTATGGTTTGTACTTTAATCGACGGATAAGTTTTGTCTGTTTTGACTGGATGTGCTGGTGTTGTAAATTGTCCCATATGCTTTGCTACACCTAGCAAAATGAACGACATCAAGAACTTTGGAGGTAGTGTATTTGAACCAAAGCCAGGTGCGTTAGAATTTGGTATATCTCCACTACATATGTGGATTAGAATTTTTGAATGCTTGCTTCATATTTCCTATCGTCATGATCTAAAAGTTTGGAAAGTATATGGAACCGAACAAAAAGACATTTTAAAAAAGAGAAAAGCTTTAATTCAAGACAGATTTAAAAGCAAATTTTGTATGTCAATAGATCAACCAAGAATCGGTGGTGCTGGAACAAGTACTACGGGAAATGTGTGCAGAAGAGCCTTTGAAAAACCGGAATTACTAGCAGAAATTTTAGATATTAATGTGGATTTGATACAAAATTTCAGAATAATTCTAATTGCAATAAATTGCCAGTTACCAATTAATCCAGATAAATTTCGGAGTCTTTGTTTAACTACCGCTAAAATTTATAATGAACATTATAGCTGGTTCAAAATGCCCCCAGTTGTGTATAAAGTTCTTGCACATGGTGCTGAAATAATTATAAATTCTGTGCTCCCTGTTGGAGTTCTTGGGGAAGATGCAGTAGAAAGTCGAAATAAATTATATAAAAATGACAGATTATATCACGCACGGAAGACCAGCAGAGTTCACATCATGACAGATGTAATGAACAGGGCATTTGAAACATCGGATATTCTCATTTCCACTATTAGTCTTAAGAAAAGAATGGAAAAGAGGGTACGTAAAACACTTCCGGTGGAGGTTCTTGAACTAATTACATGTTCAGAAAACTTCGAAAATAATATTGAAACTGACGAGGAAATTGATGAAGGAGACACGGATTTAAACAAAAGCCTTGAACTTCATACAATTTATAGTAAATTGGACGATGTAACATAACTTAATAATTTCAATTACAATTTGAAAAAAGGAAGACACGACCAGAAGCGTGGCAAGAAGTTGCCGCTGCGTTAAATGCTAAAAATAAGTTTTAGTTTTGAAAGACCTTTGTTTCTTACCACTAGATTAAAATAGTGTAATTGATGATATATGAAAAATTCTTTACGAAGAAAAGAGCACCAAAAAAAGAAAACCTGGACCTAACTGGAAATACTAAGACCATATGAACTTTTTGAAAGACGCCCTATTTAATACAAAAGTTATTATTCCCCAAAATTTGTTACCTAGTTTTTCTTAAAAATGTTAGAAAAAGATTCGTTAGAAAACTAAATTGATTTCATGACGCTGTATAAGAAAATTTTAGCAGACTGTTCGTTCTGTCTGCTATGACGAAACAATTGAAAATCAGAAGATTGACATTCATTTGTTCGTAGCATTTCTGGTCTCAGCTCACTTCGGTACCGCATCTCGTGGAACACGTAACACGTTAGTTGCCAAGATGGTTTTCACGAATAGTTAAATGTTCGATATGATGATGATATTTGGGAAGTGCAACGAACGACCGCGAGTAGCTGCGAGTGTTTATGCTCGTACATACCCGGAACGCAGAAAGCCAGATCATACAGTTTTTATGAGGCTGGCAGCGCGTTTGCGAGCACATGGACAATTTAAACCTACTAAGCCTTCAGGTACATATTTTAAGAGGTTTTCTGATAATAAAATTTTAAATATTGTGTCTTTTTAGCATTACATTCAGTGCTTTTTTCACACAGGGCAAACTCCACGCGTAGATACTACGCCCATAATACAAATGGTTACTGACAATCCAAATGTCAGTACACGGACCATCGCACGGGATGTAGGAGTTTGCCAGGCAACGGTATGTAAGGCTTTAAAAGCGGCTCACTTTCATCCTTACAAAGTTACCCTGACTAAATGCTAAAAATAAGTTTTAGTTTTGAAAGACCTTTGTTTCTTACCACTAGGTTAAAATAGTGTAATTTTTAGGCATTTTAGGCACATATACGGCAGATGCCAGAAACAAATTTTAAAGCATTGACGATATATACAAAATTCTTTACGAAGAAAAGAGCACCAAAAAAAGAAAACCGGGACCTAACTGGAAATACTAAGACCATATGAACTTTTTGAAAGACGCCCTATTTAAAACAAAAGTTATTATTCCCCAAAATTTTTTACCTAGTTTTTCTTAAAAATGTTAGAAAAAGATTCGTTAGAAAACTAAATTGATGACAAGAGCTGCATAATAATGATGAAGCTCGCAGAATGAGATATTGTCGGTAGCTCCTTGATGTAAGTGAGGAAAATTATTATTTCACAAAGTACATTTTATTTTCGGATGAATGTACTTTTCATAATAATGGCATCGTCAACCGCCACAACTTACATTACTGGGCCACCGAAAATCCTCACTGGATGCGGCAAGCAAACAGTCAAGTCAGGTGGTCGGTGAATGTTTGGGCGGGCATTCTCGTGGACCACATCATTGGGTCACATTTTATTGATGGTAGGGTCGATGGCGAAGGGTACCGAAACTTTCTACGAGACAAGCTTGTCGACTTGTTGGATGAGGTGCCACCGGAATCACGTGTTAACATGTGGTTCCAGCAGGATGGCCATCCTACACGCCGTGCCCGGCGTCTCGCAACGCATTTATTTATGGTATGGCTAATTTTAAGAAAGGTAAATTAAAAGTTAAAAGTTACCGATAAATATAACTAAATTAAGTTAAAAGTTAAGTTTATAGGGTAACTAAGTCAAGTTAAAATTATTTAACTTTTTAACTTTTTAACTTTTATATTTTTAACTGGACACTATCCAACCTTGGAAGAGAAAAACTAATAAAAAATAATGAATAGATCGATATTAACAGATACCTTGAGTTTGAATTATAAAAGATTAATTAATGGAAGTGTTTTTATTTTTTATTTACGTATTTTACGAGCAGAGAAATTAAGAAATAAAGTCTGATTCGACAAATTTTCATAATAGATCAATGTCTCGGTAAAAAAAATTTGAAAAGAGAATGGAAGCAATGTGCCATCAGCAAGAAGAAAAAAAATATTTTCTGAAAAACAAGAACTCGAAAAGAAAATGGAAGTATTGTTTCAAATACAAAAAAAATACAAAAACAATCAACCTATAGCGTTTTTCATTGGGCAGAACTGAGTGAGCACTCAGTACTCATGGAATTCAGTGTGCCAAGAGCCAGTTTGTTATTTACTACTTGTCAGTAATAAATAACAATCTGCTTTACATAAGGGCGCCCATCTTACTTATTGTTATTTATTACTTGTCAGTAATAAATAACCTAACCTAATTACTTGTCAGTAATAAATAACAATAAGTAAGATGGGCGCCCTTAAGCAGCCAATGTCAATTTCAACTCTAGGAAGCAACGCATGCGCCTCTCTGCTACAATGTAGACAATACAAATAAGCGCGAAATAAAAAATTGATGCTTGATACACGTGACTAAAGGTCGTTGCTAGGTTTGCTTATCCCGCCGGTTTCGTGGAGATAGCGCCAGGGTTGGCCAAGTTACTTTATAAAAGTATCTGGTTACAGTTACAGTTTTTTCGCTAAAAATGTAACTAATTACAGTTACAAGTTACCAGTTATGAAAAGTAACGCGTTACAGTTACAGTTACTAAAAAAAAATAACGAATTGCTACTTTGCAGTTACTTTCTTGCAACAAAAATAAAAAATATCAAATCTACATTTGAATTGTAAAGTGTCAATAAAGGCATTTATGCGCTTAATGCGTTCTGTGGAGGTTTAAAATATATATAAAGTAACTATTAATCTAATTTATACTTTTATATAATTATATTTATTTTATTTTTTTATATTACATATACTTTATATATATAATTATATATATAAAGTAACTATTAATATAATTTATATAATAATAATACTATATTAAATTAGTTATTAGTTATAGAAAAAATTAACTGAGTTAAGTTACAGATGAAGCGAAAGTAACAAAGTTAAGTTAGTGTTACCAAAAAACGTAACTGTAACTGTAACTTCATCACAAGTAACGAGTTACTTTCCAACCCCGGATAGCGTCATTTGTACTTTTTTACGAGCGGGAGGAACTTACCTGGAACTATTTGAATGCACTGTGTAGTTTTCAGTCTTATGTCGTGATATTGTTACTTTTTTTCAATTGCGGCGATATTTGAGTCCCCTTGGAGCTACAATGCCTATTATTAATTATCTCGTCGATACTCTGCTTTAACTCTTCCATCTCCAGTATATCCAGCGGCAGCGAGGTTTGCGTCGCCATTTCTCTAGCGTTAGTTTGTCCGTCACCTTGCAGCAATCTTGTTAATTCTGGATAACACGAGGTGAGACTAGAATCCAAATTGCTCATCACAGCTTTCCTATACGCCTCTTTCTTCTCATTGTCGTTCTTCGCCTTAATGTCGTTAGCCTCCTGAAGCAGATGCTTGAAGATAGTTTCGTCCTGCAAAACGTACTTGCCCCTATGACCACTCTCGCGATTTCTTCTACCACTTTCATGATTATAAGTCTTACAGTTCTTATTGCTACGCTCTTTATTTTTATTACGCTCGTGCGCGTTCTCAGGATCTAACATTGTCACTTCATCCTCTGACCGACTGTTCTCACTATCACTATCCTGTTCATCTTCCTTTTCCATATTGCATGCTTCCAGGTCGACGTCCTTATTAACCATATCTTGATTTTTCTTCTCCTCACTACTTAAATTTTCGTCGCTGCCGCTTTGTCCTCCCAATAAAAATGGCAGCAGCATGCCCGTGTGTTTAGTGTCGATAATTTTTAAGGCTCGTTCGTCCAATCCAGCGTTCCCCAGTCTTCTGCCCATATTGGGCATCTGAATTGGAACTTGAGCCATTAGTTGACTGTCTTGAGAAGTGGTGCTACCTCTCCTAGAGAGCGGATTGATTTTGGCTGATCGAGACTTCCCGAAGTCCCTTCTGTTCTTCCCACGACGACCGCGCGACCGGCTTGCGACCTTTCGTGTCGTCTTCACCTGTGCAATCTGCACGGATATCTGCGAGTCCAGAGAGTTTCGTCTAGATTCCATGGAAACGCATCGAAAGCTATAACTAATCTCAGAGTCCACCGAGTTTCGTCTATTACTAGACACAGATCCTGTGGTACCATCGACCAGTGCACCCCTTCGCATTACTAATTTGGGTAAAGCGTCCGCCCAGGTGGTGCTGAAGTCTTGCGACACCCCGGAATTAAGATCAAAGTTCAGCCCAACCGGATCCGCGTGGGTGTTGTGAAAACTTATGGATAAACGACCGGCCTTATTAAGAGTCTTCCGCTTTGCGAATACATGCGCAATGAGCTTATGCTTGCTTAGTCTTACAGGAGGCTCTTCAGCCTCGTGTTTGAGGAGACTGCAAACGAGAAGAAAACACATGCTATTCAGAATCGCATTAATGACGACAATGGCAAGTTAACACGGTAAGTAATCTAGGATGTATTGAAATTTACCTTTTCAGAAATCTGCGCCACGTGTTGACTGTCGAGCTAGTCCAAATCCACGAGGACATGAGTATTCCAGTAGAAAATAATGCAAGCAAATGCAATTGCAGTTTACCCGTGCTAGGTCTCACGTCCATTTTACATTCAGATATATCCGCATACTTTGTTACAATCGTGCATCTGTAAATAAATTCAGTCACATTACATTTACATTTAGCTAATACATGTCTAGTAAGCGTGTGCATTTAATAACAATTACAGAGACTTGGTTAGATGGCGTGTGAGAGAGCAAGTGTAGTCGCGAGAGCGGTGTGATTTCCGTAGCGGAAAAGAGTGCTAAAGTTAAGTAGGAATAGAATAGATAAGTAGGAGAAAGGGAGAGGTTGCATAGCAGCAGGGAGATTACAGGCAAGAGGGATAGCGGAAGGAATAGGAGACAGTTAAGCCCGGAAAGAACGGGCGGGAAAGTTGAGAATATGGCGGGAAGAGGAGGCGGTAAGATTAGTAAAATAGGTAAGGTAGAAAGAAAAGAAAGAGAAAATAAAGGATGATAAGCAAAGGAAACTGACAGAGGAAGAAGACAAGGGGAAGAGAATAACTTTTAACGAGAAAGTAGAGAAAGAGGAAGATAGGTTAAAGAAAGAAGAGGTAGAACAAATTAGGAGATATATGATAGAAATGAAAGAAGAGAGATTAAAAGGAAATGCGAGGAGTATTTAGAAGAATGTATAAAGACGGAAAAAAGATTCGAGGAAAAACTGAGAACAGTAGAAGAAAAAATGATGGATCTAAATAGGATGATTAGGGAATGGAAGAGATGGGAAAAAATAGGAGGGATAGCAGGACAGAGGGAAGCGACAATGAGAGGGAAAGCGAGAGAAGTAGTAATTGTAGCAGAGGAAATAGAAGTAGAAGTAGTAATAGGAGTAAATATAAAGGATCGATGATGAGCGAAGGAAAGTTTAGTGATAGAGAGATAGGCAAGTTAAAGAATGGATGACAGAGAAATAAAAAGAGGAGAGGAGAAATAATATAGCAATAAAAGTAATGAGTAACGAGGAAAATAATATGGAATCAAGAAAAAGGTAGAGAATTTAATAAAAGAAAAGCTAGAGATAAGACTGTAAAGACTGAATATTAAGAAAAGCGGGAAAGTAATCATAGCAAAGTTAGACAGCGAGGAAAACAGAATAAAGGTAATGAAAAACAAAAATAAATTAAAAGGGGAGAATATACATATACATAGAAAAGATCTGACATTTTTTTATTTACCTAATACTATTTGAGATATTCAAGAAAAAATTTATAACTTTGTCAATGTTTAGAGCTTATGATATCTCGATAACTGTTTGTCGGAGAGAAAAGTAGTACAGGACTTTTTTTACTTAATTTGATTTCAGGAATATGCTGTTGCAATAGTGCTTCAATTATTGAAAATTTTTGTGTATTGTACCACATAAAATTTACATACAGAAAAATTTTCAATAATTGGAACACTATTGCAACAGCATATTCCTGAGACTAAATCAAGTAAAAAGTATTATATACGGGGTAATGAACGTAATCACTATAGTGATCACAGTTCAGATGCGTTTATAGAAAATGCTCTATTATGTAAAATTTCTTGAATATATGAGAACTAACAATATTATGTGTATTGGAGTCTTGCTTACATCATGTAACTTCTGAAGCTCTGTTTCCACTGCTGCGAGTTCTGAATTTCATAAATGTGACAGTAAAATGTCACTACCACAGCTGCAAGAATAGCTATGGAAAAAAGCCCCATTCGGACAATGGTTTGTTTTATCTTTGAACTTGCTCTTTCAGATATGATCTCTTGACTGCTTATTTTCAAGCGAATAAGCGTATAGAGCCCTGAAATGCATGTAGCATCGTATATCATAGACGTAAGAATAATACTTCGATACGGTATATAATAATGAATTAATACTCACAATTTTAAATATAGAGAGCATTAAAAATATATTAAAAATTTAATATCGTCGTATCGATTAATCAAACACACAAATGATAAGAAAATCTACCTCTGCATAGAAAATATCCTCCAACTAGCACAGCAAGCAACACGGGACCCAGCACAAAAATCTTGGACGCATGATCGGCGTAGCCCACAAAGCAAATTCCCGTCATGCTGTTGCCGTCAATCTGGCCTAAAGCCATGATTGTAACCGTCAGGATGAGTGGTACGCACCAAGCGATTAGATGAAAGTAAGCGCTCTTTTTGTCTATCCGGTCTTGTATGGTGCCGAGTGCTCGGAAGCTCATGTGCCAGGCGTACGTCAATATTACGAACCATACTACGGCTGCCATCAAAGAATAATACACCAGGATGAAGACAACGACGCAAGATAGGTTTTCTCCGCTAGTGAAAATAAATTATAATATATTTAATCTAGTAGGATCGACCGAGGGTCATTACATTACATTAGCATTCGTGAAACGTACCTCGGTTCTCTTGTTCTTAATGTTCCATCTTTGCGACATACAATTACGTCTCTACTGCCAGGAGTGAATTGTACCAGCCAGCCAATGCAAGACATCATAAAGCAACAATTTATGTAAAATATCACTATCGCTGGATATTTGTTTGCGCTTTTCCAATCTATCAAAAATGTTACCTGGAATTTGTATATGATAAAATTACATAACTCACACATGTTTACAAGTCTTCTTCGTGCCAACTTACAATGGTAAATAAGTTGAAAATGCAGCAGATGCTCGCGGCCCATACAATAAACGAGTGAATTTCGTTGTGTTCGTCAGGCGTGTACAACGGGTCATAACATTGCGTCCCACAGCCCTCAACTCCATCGAAAATGGAAAGGACATTGTCGGTAGGTACAAGGGGTTTCAAGCATTTGCCCGAGGTATTAAACTTCAATTCCCTAATGTCGTTCTGGCACAGACGCGGGAACAACTTGGTATTCTCGCAATTTGTGAAACTCGGCCATATCGTGCTGTTCATCAGCATCCGGCAGGGGCCTGACATCATCTTGCACATCTCATGAGACGGCAATTCGACTGTGTCATTAATGCACTTCGGCATGAATATTGAGCATAAGAATGGTTGAACGACGGCCCAGCATTTTGGCACATGTTTTAGAGCTTGCAACAAGTACAGTCTTTCCTGAAAGCAAAAGAGATGCATATATTTAGAATATGACGTATTTTCTGTATGATATGCGGAGACACCGTACATCTCTTGATCATGATTTTAATTCGTGGTCTCCGAATGTTTTACACCGTGAGAGTAACACAAGAAGGAGAGAAATAGCAGAAATGGTTTTTTTTTATATAAAAAAGACTAATGATACAATCAATTTACAAAAAGACACGGAAAATCTTAACGCTATTTATTCTTTTGACTTTTGTTTTTAATTGTACTCTTAACCTAATATTTAGTCATGCTCCGTCCTCTCGCTAGCAATGTTCTCGGGTAGCAAACTTCGACTGGAAATTTTTATAGCATGTAATGGCTCCTGCCCACTGGACGCGGTAACGTTGCCGCG